ATACACCCTAGGTGGCCAAAGAGAAGTAGAGAAATGATGTGCTGTGTCCCAAATCACAAAGCAGGTTATTTTCTTAGCCAGGAGTGAAACACTTCTCCTGAATCCCAGGGCAGTACTTATCTGTTACATCATAACTCCATATATTAACCATCCTACCTTCAAATGAGGACTTCCTAGTCTTTTAAATGCTGGAAGATGCAAGGGGAGAGTGGCAGAATATAGGCCCTGGATAAATGTTCTATTCCTTAGTATCTGCTCTGGGCCACTGTAAGGTACAGGATACTGAGCTAGATGGACCTGTGGTCGGATGCAGTAGAGCAATTTGTATGTTCTTAAGTGCGGCTGTCATTATCAAGAGCAAATCCAGACCTGGTTTTGACCCATGAAACAACAGGATGAGGTCATTGACATCTGAATTGATGGCTCCCAAATGACTATCTAAGGAAAGACTAAAACAAGCAAAACAAAATACCCCCTTGGCTAAGGAAAGACTAAAACAAGCAAAACAAAATCCCCCCTTCTGTTTCCACAGCTATTAAACAATGGAAGCCTTGTGAGACTTCTCCTGAGGTAGCTGCACTAATCCAAGAGGAAATATTCTCCTTTCTAACAAACAATAGTTGTTCTATTAATCCTAAACTATAGGCATAGCTTGGCAAATGCCTTCCTCTCTTAACTGTGCCCTCTCCAGGACCAGAGTGAATGGGTAAGATCCTCAGCTGTTGTAGATCTGGCCTTATGGCATTTTAATTGGAGTGGTTTCCAGACAGCCACCCTAATTAAAACAGCTCATGGTCATGTGTATTAAGCCCTGCCGCATTTCAAAATGGCCACGGGGGCCCTTTAACTAAAGGCCATTTGATAAGCTTTAGATAAAGCACCCCCGTAGCCATTTTGAAATGTGGGGGGCTTAATACATGTGACTCCAAGGTGACGCTAAAACGTTCTAATTAGAACACAGAGCAGACTCGATTAATCGAGTGTGCTCCCATGTGTTCTAATTAGAATGCTAACAAGCATGTCTATATGCACCCTATGATTCTGCCTATCTCAATCACCCTTTCATAAGGACAAATTCTTCTTCAGGCGATTCAGTGCCAGCCAGCTAGGAAAAAATGTGCAAGGATTAATTTCTCCCAAACCCCAAAGCTGCTTAATGGATTAACTGGGGAAATGAATGAAAAGGATGCACTTCATAAAAGTAACCTTACCCCCACAAAATGACTGAATGAGAGGTAGTTGTCCCTCCACCCATTCCAAGATCCTGTGATGATACAGCCTTATAGCACAAGTATCACTGGAGTGGAGGTCTTCCTGTTGACTGTACAGACTGATTATGATTTGTCTCTTATGCTCCAAAAAAGCAAGGATGATGCAGAGTAGAAAGCGTCTTCCTAGACCACCCAACACCCGAAGCCACTTATGTGTCGTGGAGCTGCAGGGAGGGTGGAGTAGTCTTGGCAGGCTATGCAACCCCAGTGAAGGAGAAGGAGCTCCTCCCCCACAGCAGGATGATCTACAGTCCCCTGATGCAGATATGTGGATTTATCATTTATCTTCCAGGACTACAATCCTGGGAATGGAGGGTGGGGGGCACTGCATGCTACAAGGACAGTATCAGCTACTTCCTGCAGCCTGTGTTGTTCAGAACATATATGCCAGGTGAGGCTGGATCTGGGCCTGAAGAACTGAGACGTTCAATAGGTTCTGCTACCTGTTTAGCGTGATCCTGCTCCAACTGAAGGATAAGGTAAACTTTGCTTTGAGGCAGAGCTGGCCCGGGATATACCTCTGTAGCTGATTTCACGTGATTCTTTGGCAACCACAACCCCAAAGGCAGATTAAGATTTATTAGGGCCCTGGACAAACACAAAATTGGGGGCCCCCTCTAGAGATGCACCGATATATCAGTTGCATATTAGATCGGCACTGATAAAGAAAAGTTAACATTATTGGCTTTTGGCTTTTCTTGGCTGGTGTAGCTGATTAATGTCACTGATAAATGCTGGATGCACCCAGCTAGGAATGCAGCCAGGCAGCTTAGAGAGCAGCGTCCTGCCAGTAAGTCTGTGGGGGGGGAAGGGGTGTTGGGGAGGAAAGAGGTATGGGGGGGGTGGATGCAGGCCCCCCATAGTGCGGCAGAGAGTGTGGCAGGGGCATGGGCAGAGGCAGATGCTACTCAGCTGCCTCTCCTTTGAGAGCCCCACGTGGACTGCCCCGACAAAGGGTGGTGCTGGAGGAAGGCGGGGGTTGCAGAGCTATGGACAACCCCAAATTCCCCATAGCTCTCCCCCCAGAGCCACCCCTTCCAGCGCCGCTGCCTGCCCCACACAGCTGAGCCCACCCTGAGCCTAGCCCAGGCCCAGCTCCCCTGCCAGGAGGAGGCCAGCAAAGCCCCTGGCCCCAAGCCCACAGAGGGTAGCCCGCCCTTACCCCATGCACAAATTCAGGGGGCACATGCCCTCCATGTTTCCCCTGGGGGTGCGCACAGCGGTGAGGCGCCGCCCCCCCCCCGCACCCTTTGGAGGAGCTGCCTGCAGCTCTATCCTGCTCCTGGCTGCAGGGTCACATTTACTGCCCTGGTGGGCACCTCCTGCCCCTGCCCCAGCCCCACCCGCAGCTCCAACCCCAGCCCCACTCCCTCCCTCACTGTGGGGGCCTCCATTTGCCCTTCCTCCCCATTAGACTTGCCTGCAGGGTGCTTGCTGCCTAGCTGTGCTCCTGGCCCCATGCATGACAGCACTTTTAATTTTGCAGGTTTCCACGCATGCCCCCCACCACTGATTGGTGGAGGGGCCGAGCTTGCAGCTCACTCCTTGGCAGGGAAGCGAAAACCACAGCTTTAAATTTGGCATCATTTTTGCCCCTCTGCCACTGATTGGCTGAGGGGCCCTGGGGGCCCAGCTCCTTGCTGCCCACCAGCCAGTAGACAAAAATGGCTTCAGGTTTAAAGCTGTGGCTTTTGCTTCCCTGCCGATGAGAAGTGAGCCGCAAGTGGGGCCTCTGGTTGGCAGGGGTCCCTGGACCCAGGCCCCGCTGGCCCGTGCATTAATTTTTCTATGCAGGGCCCTTAGTTTATGACTAGATTTTGTTAAATGACAGCTCATGCAGTGCTTTAAAACACATTACTGAGGATTAGAAACAGTATAATGATTGTGTATTACAGTATATACACTAATTGTTACACCTTGGAGGATCTAGTCCAAATAACAATTAATACGGTTAAACCGAAGTTTTGCATGTTATGCATTGACTGGTTTAGTACAGACCTGCCATTAGGAGCACAGTTGAAGGAACCGGACGGCAAGTGTTAGTGCAACTGGAATGTCAGGCACTGCAGAGGAGCTGTGGATGGGTAACATGGCTCCAGTTCATACCAGCTGATCGAATGAAGCTGGCATGTGTGTCAGAGGGAGAGTGCATTATACACCCTCAAAAGGGAGCTGCAGGGAGTACATCTGAGTCACGTGTGTATTTTGCAGACAAAACTGGCTCTGGGGAGTGGCCCTAACACTGCTCCCCTTTTCAATAGGATTGTGGTTAGTACAGCCCCAGGCAAACATCAGAGATATAATAAGGGCTCTCAGGGACTCTCAGGAAAACTGGGTCCCTTATATGTATTTGGACACACTCAGCTAAAGTGTTATACACAGCTCCAGGCCAGGAAGTCTTGTCTTTGTCTGAATTCCTTGTTTGCAAAAACTATTTTGATGTGGACAACATTGAAAGTCTATTGTTGTAAGCCATTTTCACTGTTTTCCCTAGAATTTTGTGACACCCTGGCCCCAAGAAACCAACACAGAATGAACATCACTAGACTCAAAAGACTGAGTAGAAATAATTTCTTTAACATGAACTGAGCCAATTGTGACTCCCGTTGACTAGCCGTGCACTACACAGGACCTTTAATGTATCTTAAAGGTAAATTAATAGAATACTTGCTGCTGTCCAAGAGTGACTGCCTCAATAACTCTTAGCATTTAGCTGAAACATTTTTTTAAAATCCATCATCTGTAGAGCATAAACTCACTGGGGCCTGGATTGTCCTTTTAGTATAATACACCAAAACACCTTTGCAGTTTTGGCCCTCAGTTACTTGGAAGCCATTTTCAAGAGTTTTAGGCCCTGAGGAGTCTGTGCGCCAGTGCTTTTTAATAAGACTTAGGTCCAGAATTTTAAAAGAATTTAGGTATCTAATTCACCTTGATTTCAAAGGAGTCCTGTGTCTAAACCCTTTGAAAATCTGTTTTTTAGGACCTGAAAGGCTGGATTTTCAAAGGTATGCTAGTGAAGCAGATTGATGTCCTAGTGGGATTTACTATGCAGGCTGAGCACCTGACCCCTATCTGATCTCACTAAGACCTGTAGGCTTGGATTCACTACAATAGATGAGAAGGAAAAAATTGTCCTAGAGTAGCATATAAATCGAATGAATGAATGAACCTTCTAGATAAAATGTACAAATACCGCTGTGACAGCAAAAGGATAAGTAGAGATAGCTCAGTGAATTTTGCTGCTGATTTTTCCATTAGACTGCAAACTCTGGAGTCATGTCTCCTTCTTACTTGTTTTGTAATATGCTGTGTAGACTGACAGTTCAATATACATAGTTATTCTCTAATTAATTTTATATACATTAAATACAATATACATTATTATTAATGAACTCACAGCAAATTGGTGGATCTATAGATTCCCCAAATATTGGGTCCATTCAGATCCCAACTCAGGCTCTGCTGCCTCAACCTGTCCATAAACCTGGAACTTTTAAGTATTATGGTAATACACACAATAATGAGTTATAATCCTAAGTAGAAGCATTTTGGCCTGATAATGAGACAGAAGGTTGGTTTTTGAAGTTAATATGTGTGCTGAATTCAGTTAAGTAATGTGTAACGGGGAAATCTGTGACAGTTTACATGACTCATGTAACCGGCGTACAATTTTTTACGCAGCAGGCCCAATTCTACTATTTATAGATGCAAGTAGCAGTTACTTACGTGAGTAGTCCCGACAAATGTGGATATTCAGCTGTTTTCGGCAGAATTTGCTTCTCACGGGCAGTAGTGTTTTTACATCCACGTTGAAGAGGGCTAAATGACAACACAAGGTTGAATGGTTGGTGGTGAATCAGGCTCATCGACTTTAGCAAGACTGTACAAAAAGTGAGGCATGGTTTCAGAACTGGGTTGAGTTTGAGGATGCTTTCCAAATCCCAGGAAACTCAACAGAAAGACTTCCTTCAGTTGCATAATGGTGAGTCTCTCTTACTTTAGAAAGAACAATGTAAATATTCTGAGGCAGTGGAAACTAAAGGCTTTGTTTAAACAGTTTGCTTAATGAAGATAATGTGTATGCTCACAGCAGTTATTATGAGAGCCTAACGGTTGAAGAAGTGCGATTGCTGGTGCTGTTCTAGTTCATTTAAGAACCAAAATGAATTGTTAAAGAGAGGTGCGTTTCCAAACTAAAAGCCAACGACTGGAACCTCGGCTGATGTGCACACTGGAATAACTCCATGGCAGTCAATGGAGTTAAGCTGCTTTACACCAGATCAGAATCTTTTTATTCCCTAATTAGTAGAGTTAAGGAACTCTTTAGCATTCCCTTCATTTCTGAAAAGCTGGGCTTGGTTTCAACTGTTTAGCTCCTTATGGGAAAGTTCTGTAAAGAATGATAACTTTTCTGTTAAGCATTTTGGCCAGCCTTACCAATGTCTGTTGTGAGGATATAATTTGCTGTAATAGTCTTTAGCTTCTGTAAGTCCTTTGTATAGGAGCCCATTTAATTTCTATGGTGTGTCCTATTTGTTCATTAGAAATTTATACTTTTTCCAGAAGGGTTGTTGTCATGGAAGGAAAATCGAATATCCAGTCCACTGCTATCACGTTTTCTATTCCTGTTGTTGGAGATGATTGTTCTCCAGTTCTGTTGCCTCATACCTTGTTGATACTTTGTCCCCCCCACTCACATTTACATAATTTGGCAGCCAGAAGTTTGTGAACTGGGTGAGTCAATATTTGTATTTTTCAGTCAGATGGATAGAAATTACAACTTTTATTTTTAAAATAAAGGTTTCTTGTGTAAGGTAATTAGGACAACTATTGCTGATCTTACATTATACGTGATTATTTACTTAAAGACAAAGAACACTTACTTCCTCCTTAGTCGTTTTGGATTTGGCAAACTCTGAATGTGAATTAGTGACGCATACCAGCAGTAATCCTATGGGAGAGTGTGCTTAACATTACAGTACTTCAGAAACTCGCATTTCTATTTTTTGACACAATCAAATGCACAGTTTAACCTGGTTGCCATCTTGGGACCAGAAGTCCCACCCCCTAACACCTGACCTTTGCCACCAGAAGTCCCTGCCCTTGCCCCCCAGAAGTACTCCTTCCAGCAAGGGGGTTTGCCATCTCGGAACCAGAAAAATACCAAATTATATTCTAAAAATCAAACGTCTACTACAACGTTCATTAATTTCATTTCAAAATATATTGTTATCCTGATTTACATGCGTGTGTGTAGTGCACATGGAGGTGATAGTATCATAGCTTAAAATGAAACCCTAAATCCTACTCTTGTATATTGTGGGTTTTGGAGGGGGCCATGTTTGTGGGGTGGCTGGGGAGGGCTGTGGCTTGGGTGGAGGGGGAGGGTTTGCCCACAGCCCCCCTGCACAGGAGCACCAGAGCTCCTCCAAGCCTGGACACTGCGCTTCTGGCCCCGGGTCACTGGTGCAGCCCCATGCTCCTGCTTGCTGCCACTTCCCCCCGGCGCGGGGCCCAAGCTGAGCAGCTGCAGCATGGGACAAACTGGTGCTCAGTGCGGGAGAAAAGTGGCACCCCCCTCTTCCGCTGCTGGTGCTCCATGGTACAGCTGCTCGCAGCCCACGCGAGGCTGCCTATGCCTGCTCTCTGCTGGCAGCGGTGATGCGGTGGAGACACAGGACAGGTCCGGGTAGCTGCACCAGGAAGCGCTGGCCACAGGGAGGTGGAGGGGCCACTTTTCTCCTGAGCTGAGCACTAGTTTGTTCCATGCCTCCACCACTCAGCCCAGATGGGTGAGCACGGGATCAGGCCTGCGTGCACTTGCCCCACCTGTACCATGGGGCTGGTGCGGGGGGATGGAGCAAGCAGGTGCACAGGAGCCAGTGACAGCCGGGCAGGAGTGCGGGGCCTGTGCTGGTGTCCCAGGGTCAGCACCGGTGAGGCCCAGAGCAGGGCGGCAGGAGCACAGGGCCCCAGCGAGCAGGGGCTCTATGGAACCCGGCCAGCTCCCCCCTCTCCCTGCTGGCACAGCCCAGCCCAGCCCAGCCCGGCTCCACAGACCCCTGCCAGCCCATGCCCTGCGCTCCTGCTGCCCTGTTCTGGGCCCTGCAGGTGCTGGCCCCAGGATACCACGCAGGCCCTGTGGGCCCACTTGCTTCCACTCCCTCCTGCCCCCACGGTGGCTTTCCCGAATTTCCCACCTGCCTGTCACCCACTCTGGCACCATGTGGCTCCCAGTTGCATGGCCAGACCATGGGGCTCAGCAGGAGCTGGCCTGGCACCAAGGACTGGGGCGATCCCCACGGTCCTAACGGCTCCCTGCCTGCCTTCTTACCTAAAATTCCTGCTTTGGTGCAGGGAGGTGCGAACAGTCCCACAGTCCCAGACCAGAAGCCTCTGCTAGGCAGGGGCTTCTGGCTGGGGGGGCGGGACCAGGTGGGCCTTGCTGTTGCGGGAACCTGCTAGGGCTTCCCCTGGGTCCTATTGCCCCTGTCTCCTATCATCTTTGACAGGAGCCAGGGGCAAATAGATATTAATTTTCTAAATTTTTTAGGGGTCCCATGGGCTGGATAGAATGGCCTGGCAGGCTGTATCTGGCCCGTGGGCTGTATTTTGCCCACCCCTGGTTTAACCTGAACTGTGACTTTTTAGGAGTGGAACTGAAATAATGTGGAGTGTGTATCTGTCCATGGGAATTTACTTCATTCCAGTTGCTGATGTGACTGCAGAAACTATTTTTAGGTATAATCCTTCAAACAGAACATGTCTCCTCCTTTCTGACTAGTACAAAGCTGGCTGCTAGTCAAAGGATAATTATCTCCCAATACATCGCCTAACACAGGCCAACAAACAAAACATTCATTATTTTAGTTATACAACATTAAGTGTTGTTTAGCAGTTAGCATTTTCCTTGACAGCTTTTAATGGGACTAATTGCTCCAGCCTCATTAGCAAAGGTCACTACTGGTGACAATGGATTTTTCTGGAGCCATTGCTTAGTAACTCTCATAAAAAGATTAGATTATAAGGGCCAAATTCTGGTTTCAGTAGCATTGCAAGAGTGCAACTAAAGACAGAATTTGGCTTGAAGTATGTCTGTACTGTTAGTTCATGGTTGCACAGTTTCCATTCCCGCAACTTGATGTATTACAGAGAGGAAGTAAGTACACCGGACCAGATAGGAAATTACAATAAATTAGGAAAGTGTGCATGACAAGGAAGGTTTGCAAAATAGACACTTAAAAAGTTATTAATAAAATTTCAATTTCAGATAAGGCCTGAAAAAAGACCCAAGATAAGGAAGTTGTCCTTATATTTGAAAACACTTACATGCCAGCCAAGAAACCGTTTGCAGAAGAAATAGTGCACTCTATCAAAAAACAAACTACCAGTTTTCTCAAATTCTTTGCGACCTGCATCAAGATCGGTTTGTCAGCATTTTAGGCTGAGTTTCCTATGTAAAATTTAATAGCAATCAATGCCAACAAATGTTTTTTGTTACCAGATCTACATGCAATTCATGAATCACAATTTGGGCATTTTAAAGGAATTTATTTGTCTAAAAATGAAGATATAGAGTGGTATTTTCAAGAATGTACCTAACTCCCATGGATGCCTGGGCACTCTGAAAATATCAGTAGGCACATATCTAGATCTTTAGGCACCCAAATACCTTTACCAAATACACCTCTCTCTTAAGTTTTCTCCAGGTGGACACAAATTACAGGACGTGATTACCTTAGGTTTTCTACCTGGATAAAGCAGGTACATTTAGATCCATATGTTCAAACTACCTTATCTAATTTTATACTGCGAGACTTATATTTAGGCTCTATGGAGAAGTGATCCAACAAGTGTTGAAATTCCATTTAAGTTAATAGAGGTTATAGTGGCTGAAAACCAAGCCCTTTCCTGTTAAGTGCTTAAAGGTTAAACACCGCAGCTGGACACATTGGCCCTAACAGATACGGCATGTATCCCGATAGCAGAGTTTCTGTTCTGCTTGTATTTCCTTTCCCTTCAGATCTGCGTTCTTCTCCGTTACTTTACCTTTCTGTGAAAGTGTGTGTGCATGCGTGTATAGCTGCATGTCTACTATTTGTACTGCAGCTCCAATTGTTAATCCCTGTCTGGTTTTCCTCAAAAATATATTCATCATGGAGGTTTTGACTCAATGCCTGCAGAGTATTTCAGCTGTCCTGTAACTCTTCTTAGAGTATACTTCTTCAATACTAAGAACAGTCTGTACTAAGAAAGAAATCCATAAGGCACTGCTAGCCAATAGTCTCTCCTTCTTTCCACACATGTATGCCATATGTCTTTTTTATCTGTAAGGTTATCATGCCACTGCTTTTTTTTATACTGCACTAAGTTAAACTGGTACTGGCCATTCACACTGCTGCATGGAATATCTTTACTGATTACTGAAGATTTAAATATGTAAACATCCATCAATATCAAGACCATCCTATTTTTAAAAACCCAGTAAATATATCTATATATAGTCTTTCCATTGGGCCATTTCTGGTTGGCTAAAATGCAACAATAACTGATTAATTTATTCTTGCAGCTGATCCCCCTGTAATCAATCAGCAAGGTAGTTTTTTTTGGAACTCTACTGCCTTTAATCACACAACAGATGAACATGGTCCCATGCTGTTACTAATAAGAGTAATCTGAACAAGTTTTGGTCCTAAATGTGTCACTGAAGACTCCACTTTATCAAAACATTTCACATGCTTAAATTGGGTGTGTGAGTAGACCCACTGATTTCAATGGGACCATTCACATGCTTAATGTTTGCCTGTGACTGTCTACAAGGAAAGAGGAGCAAATAGTCACTCTACTCTTATCCATCATATGCACACTAAACACACTGTTCTACATGATGCACATAAGATCAACATGGCTATCAGACAGCTGGACTGGACAAATTTTGCCCTTGGTTGTTACACTCTTGCAATTCAGCTGACTTTGCTGGAATTGCAGGGTGTAACTAAAGGCAGAATTAGATCCTGGCTTTTAAAAGTGCATGTCGTTAGAAGACTAATGGAACATGTTTCATTTGGCAACTGCCCTGGCTTCACCTTGGCATTTAGGAAGCCTATTTCACTTCTATTGGAGCAGAAATAATTAACTGTAGTTCAAACCCTAACCCCAGCGCAACCAATGGCAAAACAACCAGTGACTTCAAAGGACCTTTCAATTTGGTTATGTGTAAAAAATGTCTCTATGTTTTTATCCCTAAAATGTAATGTTAAAAACAGAATTAAAAAATCTTCAGCTTTTAAAAATGGAGTAAACTTTATTTAAGAGAGAGCTTGGCCTATTTCTTGCAGAACTGACTTTCAGAACTCTTCTCACTGGGACATGATTTCTAACTCAACTATATTTTTGAGTATAATAAAGCTAAAAATGGCTTCACTTTTATTCTGTGCATGACATCAAGGAGGTGTTTTACGATACCCAGCCGTCTGGCTTTTTGGTGCTTTATATGCCATGACAAGCTGCAGTCATGAAAAATTCTCTGAATCTATCATAATAAAACATACCTTCATGACAATAATGGGAGACAATATTGTCACGGAGTTCTACATTCAGGATTTGCATTAAGGATAAGAGTCTGCCACCCATGCCCTCTCGGCACTTCATCATGGTTTGTTTGGAGTCCACGGGGGTACCTGTGTCAGCAGGGCACTGCACAGCGTGTGTGAGGGTAACAGGATCCAGCCCTAAAGGAATCTATAGCTAGGGAAAATATTGCTACTGAGTGCCATATTGTTTTTCTCGCTATATAATTAGTTCTTTAATCTACAGATATGTGACTGGGGTTTTGTGCAGAACTGATACGCAGTGTGAAAAACACTTTACAGGGCCTGATCTTGCACCCGTTAAAGTCAATGACAACTGCCTTTAGCTTTAATTGATATCAAGAAATGAAGGGATCAAATATGTAGTGCTATTTTCTGAAGACACTTTTTTCAGTAATGTAGAATGAAAGCCTGGCAAATTTTTTCAAGGGATCACAAACTTCTTATTACATCTCCCGATACAGGGCATAATCTCCCTTTTACTGAAATCAGCGTAGATTCCCAACGATTTCAGTGGGAAAGAGCTGGCTTCGCTGAATATGGACTTCAAGCTCTGTCTGCATCCAGTGAAGTTATTTTAAGAGTATCATTGATTTCACCATGAGAGATCCACTGCATAATCTATTAGCAACAGTTTTCGGTTTTCAAATCCAATACAAAACCATTTTATTCTATTTTTTCAATAATAAATCCCCTGACTCCTGGTCTACTAATTCAACAAAAAGATCAGGAGAGCCAACAGGCTAAAGAAAATGACTGTGTTTATTATCAGGCTGGAAACACCTTGTCTTTGGCCATTAATTTTTGAGGGAAGTCGGCAGCCCTTAACGCAACAGAAAACACAACCTTATTTGGTCTAGAACACTTTTTTTTAAACAATATTTTGTCAGGAAAAGCCATTAGGTGGGAGAGTATTGGTAATTGGATCCATATTTTGAGAAAAACAAAACTCTGTTCTTTCCATTATAGCTGGGTACTGTTTCAGAACCTATAGAGACACACTGTACATATATGCTTGTTTGTGCTGCAATGTTATTTATTGCACATAGACCAATTACTTACACAGTAGTAAATTGCACCAGAGTATAAATACCTTATAAAACACACACAGGAGGAAAATGGAAATGACACGCAAGTGCTAAAATAACAGCAGATTCACGTGGGCACTTGGACATAAAATATTAAAATAATAATAAAAGACCCTTAAGATATTTTAATTTATAATACGGATGCATTTACAGTACCTTGATAAAATAATATAAAAAGTCACTCTCTCAATAGAAATGTAACATATTAGACAAGAGCAGAAAGAATTTTTTTCAGGTTTGATGATATTTGAACCCCCGTTTTATTTTTAATTTTTTTTTGTGCAAGGAACATCTTCAATTAATTTTACGATTCTTAACACTGTGCAAAAATGGCTCTGTCGCCATTTTTTTTATGTGCAGTAAATTTTTTTTGTTGCCAGGATTTATTTATTTTTTTACTGTTCATCTTCAATTACAATGAACAAATTGCAGAAGGCTCACTGCCTCTTTTTAGAAAATAATAATATCGATACATAAATAAGCTGTTTAATATAAACATGTCTTTTTATTCCCCTGTACAATATGCACAGTTTGAGGTAGAAAGTTTCTCAGCCTGATTGGTATTGTCTGGCAAGAGAAGATAAGCATAACAAGTCAACCGGTTGCTGATGCAGAAGATAAAAATCAGAAAAGCTCTGTTCAAAATACAAGTATATCAATATTCTTCATTAGTTAATTTTTTTCCCTTCATCTTTACTTTAAAAAACAGGGGAATGCAGCTACCTGAAGTTTAAAATAAAACTTGCCAGATGACAGACACGCTTTTATAAAGGACTGTTAAGCCTGATTTGCAAAAAGTGCTGATCACCTGCAGCTCCCACTAACTTCAACAGGGCTGTGTGCAGGCAGCACTTGTTAAAATCAGACCGCTTTTTTATCTGCATGTGAAACCAGAACTGCAGCCACCAAGAGTAGGGGCAGGGAGAGCTTATAGTCCTCAGCTTGAAAGCAAGGTTAAATACAGCGTGATCCTGGCTACAGTGAAGTCAGTGGCTAAACTCCCAATACTTCAGGATCCGGCTCTACTGCGAGTGCAGCTCTTAGAGCAGCTTAACTGAGTAAAGGATATTTTCTTATTCCCTTTCAAAATGCCTGTTGCCACCTAACTCCCTGTTAGAAAATTTTAAAAAATGAGCTTGAGACAGCTTTCAATTTCCTTTGTTCAGTGGTCAGCGGCTTCCTCTAACATCAGATGAGGTATGTTGCATACAAGTTCACCTGCTTTTAGTCTTAAGTAAACACAGATTTTCTCCCCAGTGAGACAGAGATTGGTTTTGTTTGGTGTTTGTTTGCTTAACCAGACTCCTGATATTGTTTTCCTCTCACTTATTCCCTGGCTGGCTTTCTTCGTGCTCAGTGTCCAGGGTGTCCCCCAGTGCCACCCCCCACCGTCCTTATACCTTGGATTCCGAATAGGAGGTTTTGCTATTCCTCTCCTCCAGGCTGGAGTCGCTGCCTCCCTGCGTACCCCCATTGCAGTCGGACCACATCCCTCCTAGGCTGCGCTCGGGGGTGCCCAAAGTATTGATGAAACTCCCTGGGAACCGGGAGAGCTCCTCACCGCTGGCGTGCAGCCTCCTGTCGGCTTTCCTGGGGCAGCAAAGCAGCCTCTTGAAAGCCTTGCGGAAGTCAGGGCTGCGGCAGTAGATGATGGGGTTGAAAGCAGAGTTGGCATATCCCAGCCAGTTGAAGAAGACAAAGAGCTGGTCTGGCACCAGGTCCCTGTTGAAGACGTTGACCACGTTGACCAGGAAGAAAGGAAGCCAGCACAGAGTGAAGATTCCCATGATGATACCCAAGGTCTTGAGGGCTTTCTGCTCCCTCATGGCCATGATCCGGGAGCTCTTCCTCTTGCTGGCCCTGCCGTTGCCCAGCATGGGCTGGTGGTGAGAGTGGCCCTGGGCAGGAGGCTGGTGGTGGTGGTTGTTGTGGAACCTACCCTCGCATCGGTCGATCTTCTTGATCTGCTCCTTGGCCTCTCTGTACACCCTGATGTAGACAAAGATCATGATGAGCAGAGGGATGTAGAAGGAGATGATGGAGGAGGCGATGGCGTAGGCCCTGTTGGTGACGAAGTCGCAGCAGCCGGGGTCCTGGTAGCAATCCAGAGCCTGGGGATCCTCATCCCGCCACCAGTGCATCATGATGGGCAGGAAGGAGACCAGAGCGGAGATGCCCCAGACGGTGCAGATGATGCCCTTGGCCCGACCCTTGGTCATGAGGCTCTGGTAGCGGAAGGGCCAGGTGATGGCCAGGTAGCGGTCGATGGCGATGACGCACAGGGTCTCGATGCTGGCCGTCACGCACAGCACGTCCAGCGAGGTCCAGCACTCGCACAGGAAGGAGCCCCAGACCCAGCGGCCCTGCACCACCTGCGTGGCCCCGAAGGGCACCACCAGCAAGCCCATCACCAGGTCGGCGCAGGCCAGAGAGGTGATGAACAGGTTGGTCAGCGTCTGCAGCCGCTGCGTGCGCCGGATGGCCGCGATCACCAGCACGTTGCCCGCCACGATGAGCAGCACCACCAGCACCATCAGCAGGCCCATGCCCGCCGTCCACTGCTGCGACAGCAGCTCGCGCCC